AAAAAAAAAAATCGGCTGTGTCCTTGCATTCAGTAGGAAGAATACCTTTATTTGAAATAAAACAAAAACTTTAAAATTATGCTCACAAGGTGTAATTTTGCATATTTATTCTAAAATTATTCTAAAAGAATAAAAATCAAAAATCGATAAGTTTCATGACTGATTTTACACAACCCATCACTACTAAATTTGAAGTGAATTGTCAAACTAATCTAAATTATTTAGACACATTATAAATATGTGTATACTAGATGTACCATAATAAAGTATTAATGGAAATTGTGGTTTTATTTTTATTACTAGCTGTTCCCGTGCGACTTCATCCGCATAAAATAAAATTATACAAATTTTTAATTTATCACTATTTACACATGTAAATAATAAAAAAAAATTATAAACATTTTAAAATAATTAAATTATCAATTGCAAATGTCAAAAGTATATGACAATGACAAACCATGGCAACCTTGGTTCCTTGATGTTGGCAGCAACTTATGGTCTCTTTCCCACATTAGGGTTTTTATCCAAAATATTTACCCCCTAAGTTTAATGGCGTGAAAACATATATCCTAAAGCCTGACGTATGTGCAGGGCTTTGTATTAAAAAAAAGAATTATTCGAAAATTGCTGTAATTGCTGACATCTTAGGCAACAAAGAAGTGTGTGTTTACGGTTTATTATAATAGTATAGAATACATACGTATATAAGTTTAGATAGTTTGCCGGACTTTGAGGGGGAAATTAACAAAAAATGGTTTTTCACATCCATTTCCAATTTCATCGATATCCTGTTATGGAGACATGTAACTAACATACATCCATTCAATACGCATTTATAATATTAATAGTAAAGTATTTTAGGTTATTGTTACCTCTAACTTATTAAATGGAAAAGCGTATAGAAAACTATTTAAACTTCTTATCGCAATTACTAAAATTACAGCAAAGATCTGGGCAATAAATAAAATCTCATTAAAAACATTGCGTGTAGAAACTTTGAACTACTAAGGGCGTAATATTTGATAAAGTCGTGTTTTAAAGAATTTTCAGTACAATTTATTACTTAAGTAATAACTACATATATTACTGTGATTTAATGACTATTTTCATGCTCAAAGAAAACGTATTTTTAAATCTATCAGGGTTTTTTATTTAAAGCTCTGTAACATACTATATTTTAGAATTCGTTTTTTTACCATGGAAAATATAGCGCTCCTAAATATAGTTTATATGAAACTGGCTAGTCGCAGTTCAGTCTTGCAAGATTTTTTTGCTTTTTTAAGGGAGAAGGGGCAAAACGAGCGTCGACAACTCCGAGGTGATAATTGACACAGATGCTTTACAGCATTTGGTTTGATATCTAGACCAAATATAGAGAACTGTTATTTAAAATTAAACATAAGCTTTGTGTACAATCGGGATATTTGGCGATGTTCCACCTTAAAATGTACAGTCGTTAGAAAGTCATGTACACATTAATTCAACGTCTTGGAACAACCAATAGGTAACTTTAAAATATGTCTGAACGAGAAAAGGTCGGCCAGTGGTACACGGCTAATTGCTTTTTATTATTCCGTCGTTTATGTAATTGGAACACTGCGGGTTTTCCCGACTGTACATGAAAAATTTGAATATGTATTGAATTAAAAAAAAAACTGTATATTGTGTATCGAACTATAAACATAACATATATATTATTTATTTCATTTATTATCACATGTAGCGATAGACTTAACTGCTATAATTCTCGGTAAGGTCAGTGTAAGTTATCTGTGCGCTTTCGTGGTTGCTTCAAATAAACCCATTTTTTAATAAATAAAATAAGGTAAAAGCGTTGTTTTCTAAACATTTGTTGTTTGAATTATACTGTGGTAAGTAAGTACTGAATTATCAATATTATTTTGTAATTGTAAACTTATTGATAAAAAATTGCTTTTCGAAAAAGATACTTTTAAAAATAAAATTAAAAACCTTTATCTGCGATAGTTTAGCCTTTTGATTTAATTAAATAAAGCTTTTTTTTTAATTTAAACACAACTGCTATTAATATATAAATCTTAGTTTATTTTCTATTGTATTTGAAACACCCTATAGAAAATCCATATAATACAAAACGTCTGATCTGATGGAATCACTTTCCAGCTTGCCAATTCCATTACGCGCATGACTACCTCTGGTACGTACTTCACTTGACCGGACAAATAAATGAAATAGGGAAAAGATTGTTTCAATTTTCTTTATATTGACAAAAAACATAGTCTATGTTACTTAATGATAACGTAGCTTTTTATTGTGGAAAAAAAAAATAAATCGGCTGAGGATTTTTTGCGCTATTTCAATAGGAAAATCCAAAAATACAAATCTTTCTTCTCCATAATAGTATAGATTAAACTTTTTAACTATGTTGCTGTTTTCGTTTTATTTTTACATAAATATCCTTAGATGGGTTTACAATTTACAAAAGTAATATTTTGGAATACAAAAGTGGGTTTGTTCTGTTATAACCTAAACGTTAAAAATAATCCATACAGTTAGAGCATGCATACATGACATTTTAATCTGAACAGATTGACTCTTCTAAAACTCAAAGTTTGTAACGTGATTTAAAATTATTTCGAGACGTCACATCAAAGTATTATTCTATTCACAATTTCAGACAGAATATTAAACTAAGAGAATGTACAAACGTATAACATATTCTCCTATAGATAAAAATAAATCAGATTCCGAAGAAATGCTCAAAGATTTTTGACGAAATTGTTTTACGACAAAATTACCGACGTTTCGTGAGAAAATTGTCGACAAACACACGTAGAATATCTAAACGTCCCTCGTTTGTGGTTTTACCTTCGTAGAGGACGCTTATGTAAATACCAAAAGGGATCCTAAAGAAATAAAGTTGATCTTTTTTTGCACTGCGTACTTCTTTAAAAAATCTGTTCGAGTTTTCGCTACAATATATAAAACATCTACTTGATTGTGAATACGGAATTCACAGTTTTTTTTTTTCTATGAAAGAAATGGTAAGGTAGTTATGTTTCTACTATTACTTTACTGTCATCTTTCGTCTCTGACAAAAACATATTTATCTTATTAAAACAATCAGTGATCAATTGAATTACGTAAACATTTTATTTTACAGAAATGTTTAATTTATTCCTTATGCTACTTGTTATAAGAGCGTGTTTATGCGATCATCACAACCGAACCAATCAGTTACCAGACAGATCGACCATAGTTCATTTGTTTGAGTGGAAATGGAAAGATATTGCAGATGAATGCGAGAGATTTCTGGCTCCAAAAGGCTACGGAGGCGTACAGGTAAGAATGTTTCATTATGAACCTCAAATATAGTCAATTTTTCTTCATCTCTCTTTCTATGTGGTGTTAATTTAAGAATCTGTTGTCGTAAACGAGTTTTAGAAATACCTTAGCTTATACTAGATATGCTAAGTTTCAAAATGCATGGATTTGTCCGTCCGTTTGCTTCCAACCTTGATAAATTATTGACAAATATCTTCATACGTATTTTGGAAAACCGAAGTTGTGTACAAATTTCCTATTTGTATACATATTTATTCAGCTGACTGGATATGTGTTTTATAGTATAATAACATAATAAAAGAGTAGATAGTGCTGCCAAGAATTTGAACGCATACATGCATAAATTTATATTGGATAACTTCTTATTACGAATTTATAAAAAAAACTTTCCTAAATCTATATCTATACTTTAATATAATAAACGGTAAACACACACTTTTTTTTGCCTAAGATGTCAGCAATCACAGCATATTTTCGAATAACTCTTTTTTTGATAAAAAGCCCTACATTTACGTCACGCTTTAGGCTATACACTCGTATTTTCACATCGTTAAACTTAGGGGTAAATATTTTGGATAAAAACCGTAATGTGGGAAAAAGACCATAAGTTGATGCCAACATTAAGGAACCAAGGTTGCCATGGTTTGACATCATGTCATGTCCCTTTGACATTTGCAATTGCTAATTTGAGAAATGTGAACAATAAAATGATTTTTTTATAATTTGATGCGGATGAAGTCGCATGGGAACAGCTAGTTGTTTACTATTTCTTTTATAGATTTCCCCACCATCGGAAAATGTGATTATTCATTTGGCAAACGGAAAGCGAACATGGTACGAACGTTACCAAGTCATGTCATACAAATTGAAGACCAGATCTGGGGACAGAGATGACTTTCTAAATATGACCACAAGGTGTAACAAGGTTGGCATCAGGTATATAGTCGAGGACGTTTATTTCCTACCCTACCTATTTTTCTATGCTAATGTTATAAAGAAGAAAAACTTTGTTTGATTGTAATGAAATAACTCAAAAAATACAACTGAGTCGATTTAAAAATTCTATCACCATTCAAAAGCTACGTTCTCAGTGTAAGTAACTCAGTGTGTAAAGTAACATAGGTTATGTTTTTTTTTAATATCACGCGGACGGAATCGCGGGCGAAAGCTAGTTGTAAATATAATTGTAACAGTAAAGACAGGAACAAGGTATACAAATTATTATAATTTAATTTCTAATAGCTCATGCAACTTATTTAATAACACTTTTGGATATTATGAAATTGCATAACGAAAGTACTAGAAATCTATTACAAAACATTGTAGATAATATTATAATTGAGCGATAACTGAATTAAAAGATTGCATTGATGACTATAATACTTATCGTAAATGACTTTGATTTATTGTATATTGGAGTAGGTTATTTACCCTTATTCAAGATAAAAAGGAAATATTTTCTTATTAAATAATGTCTGTTGTTACCTAAAATAATCTTACTTTTTACTAATATTATAAATGCGAAGTTTGGATGGATGTTTGTTAGAGTTTGTAGCCTAAACGGCTAAACGGATTTCAGTGAAATTAGGTATAGATGTAGAGGTATAGTATAGATGTAGATGTAGAGGATATTCTGGAAGAAAACATATGCACTTTTTTAATTTCACAAAATCGGAGTCGCGAGCGAAAGATAGTGGAATATCAAGTTCTGTTGTTATAAATCACTAGAAAAACGCCCGGTCTCTAGTTATGCGACATTTCTTCACTTTTTTTACATCTGACAAAAAGACGAGAATTTAATACGTCAAGCAATGCCTAGAACTTATATTAACAAATTAACTATATTAATTGTATATTTTTTTCAGAATTTATGCTGATGTAGTATTCAATCATATGACCGGTGACCACAAAGGAGATAAAGGTACAGGGGGCAGCACTGCCGACTTTCCAAACTATTCCTACCCCGCAGTACCTTATACTAGAGAACATTTTCACTCCCCACATTGTATTATTAATAATTACTACGACGTTAATCAGGTTTGTACACTCTTTATTTTATTAAAATACTGTTTCTTGCGACTTCGTCCGCGTGATTTAAAAAAAAAAATAATTATAGCCTTTGTTACTGATAACGTAGCTTTTTAATGGTCAAAAATTTTTAAAATCGGCTGAGTAGTTTTCGGGTTATTTCAATACATGTAGAAATCCAAATCTTTTCTCTGTATAAAATGAGTACAGTTTAGCAATTATCTTGAAAGTCATATAGATGTGTATCGATCATTTTGATAAACTCTCGGTGGGTTATTTATACCATAATTCTGCGTTGTTTTTATTAGGAAAATATTTACAACTTTTTGACGTTAGTCATTATGTATTAAAATCTGTATCTATACTAATATTATAAATATGAAATTTTTGTATTTTTGTATGTATGTATTTACGTAAACCTACTGTACCGATTTTAAAATAATTTTACCATTAGAATCTATATTATTATAATAAAGCGTAAACACACACTTATTTGTTGCCTAAGATGTCAGCAATTACAACATATTTTTGAATAATTCTTTTTTTAATAAAACTCCCTACACTTACGTCACGCTTTAGGATATATATTTTTTCATGCCATTAAACTTAGGGGGTAAATATTTTAGATAAAAACCCTAATGTGGGAATGAGACCATAAGTTGTTGCCAACATCAAGAAGCAAGGTTGCCATGGTTTGTCATCGTCATGTCATTTTGACATTTGCAATTGATAATTTGACATATGTAAACAATAAAATAAAACATTCATAATTTTATGCGGATGAAGTCGCATGGGAGCAGCTAGTATACGATAAAATTCTTTAACAAAGGTTACGCTATCAACGTTCACATAGTTACGAAACTATGAAAAGCTCGACAAAGTTTTGAATACTCCAGCGATATCGTGAACAAGGTCGAAAGAATGAAGTTGACACGAATATATACTAATTGTTTGAATAAAAACCTCAACATTTCTTTTATGCCGAGTTCATTCATACAAAAGTGTTACGAATTTACAGTAAAATTGAAAACAATGCTCGTTATTTTTTTACATTCATGAATAATTATGTTAGTCAAATTTTTATGACACACGCTGCGTACGAATACTTTTTGAATCATTGCCTTTATTATATCGTTGTAATCTACAATAACCCAAATTTCGTATATACTTTCCTTGTAAGAAATAACTTATAAATATTACTTGTGTCTACTTATGCACAAAAAATCAATATTTTTCATCACCATCACCAGATCAAACACCCAACAATTACTTTAAAATTTTAACGTCGTAGTTAGTTTTAAACTAATAATTAAAGAGGGCTCTTAGTGTGTATTTAGCGACAAATATAAACAAAGGGCCTGTGGAATGATAAAGCATTTTTCATTCGTTTAATTATCAATTAAGGTGCATAGGATATTACAAAAATCGTATCATAAATGTTTTAATGTAATTTTACTATTACTTTTATTTAAATTGACATTTGAATGTTATGCAGGTTAGAAATTGTCAACTCCTGGGACTTAAAGACTTGAACCAAACAATGGAGTATGTACGACAGCGCATAATACGATACGCCAATAAACTAATTGAATACGGTGTTGCTGGCATCAGGTAATTTGAGGTGTACGCTCACCGATATTGCTATACTAAACTTTGATATTCTCAACGTAGTGTAAAGATTTTAATTAATAGTTTACAAGGTAACTTCTAACTTAGAAAGTATTAGAATTTATACAGGGAATTTATTGTTGAATACTTTATAGTTGCCTATCTGCAACATTTACTCTATGTCACAAACTGACTAATTTTACTCATATATACTCTATGAGAATATTAATTGAACCTCATAGCAAAACATCCAAACACAGTCGGTTACAACTGACAAAATATGTTTTTTTTATACATTACGGTATGGTATTAAAAAAAAAGTAAATAGCCTATGTGTTCTACCAGACTATCCTCTACATCTATGCCAAATTTTATCGAAATCAGTTCGGCAGTTTAGGCTACAAATTCTAACAAACATCCATCCATCTAAACATTCGCATTTATAATATTAGTAAAATAAAATTATAAAGAGAAGAAAAGAGATGGATATAAACATTTGTACAGAAATTATTGAAACACATAACAATCAATCAGCAAGTAAAAGTCGATCTAATTTCAAATAAGTTGTTACAAATTATTCAAATGAATTTAAATCATCGCAAAAGTCACGTAGTTAATAAGATTTCCGAGTATTTGCTCGAACTAATTTCCCTCGGTGTTGCTAAAGGTAAACAGCTGCTAACAAAATCGAGCTAAGTAATTATTACCTCTGTTTAATAACAACGTTTCTCTCGCCGTCAGCTGAAATTAATCTTGTTGCTTCAAGTGATACAGTCTGTTATACAAATTTATGGTAATTTTAATTTAGACTACAGTCTATTTAGGATATAAGCAGACTAATGATTATTTTCAGCTCTGCATTATTCAGTAAAGTAGCTTTGTCATTAAGGAAGCATTATTTTTATTATTAAAAGGTCGTAGAACTTGCCCAATAATGTCTGTGCTCTGTTCATGTTAGTCATAATACCGCTATTCTATTTCAAACTCACAATCTTTAGACCAGAATCAAATCTAACCGTTTGGATATTGGCGTTACGAGCATTGCTACGAGTAAAGCCACACTGGCGATAAGTATTCCTTTGCTACGTGTTCGTAGATGTGGAATAACTATGCGAATAAAACAGTTCGTAGCACCCGTAGCATGTAACCATTCTAACGTTCTCAACGCTTTTCACTATAATATTCAAGTCACAATATCTTTTATAATAAAGCGTTATCCTCGAATGCTTATGTAAAACGAAATTGTGAAATTTTATGTTGAATTTACGTGATTTATTTAGTTTCTTTACCTGTCTTTTTATGCATAGATGAATGTGAAAAAAACAAGTTATTCGAAATCCAAAAAAAAAATACTATTCAGCAAACTGTATACATTATTTTCAAAACATTCGAAACGTATGCCTATAAATCTGTTCTGTAAGTATTACTTAATTTATACAATAAATTATTCCGTTTCAGAGTGGACGCAGCAAAACACATGTGGCCAAAAGATCTCCGTGAGATTTATAGGAGGCTCCGCACCCTTAATACTGATTACGGTTTCCCGCCAAACACAAAGCCTTACATCTACCAAGAGGTCATTTATTTTGGTAACGAACCAATAAAACTCGAAGAATATACACCTTTAGGTGACGTTACTGAATTCAGAGTGAGCATTTTTAATCAATAAAGCTAAACATAGATCATTACTGTATGAAATGATTACTTTAGTGGTTATATCCACTAAGCTCTTGCCACGCGACAGTCGTGCCGGTGGAAATAGACTCGCCACAGTGCTCAAAAAGATGACATCGCTAGGCTGAAGCTGCACGGCTACCCAAGTGGAATTAGGATCTGATTTCCCATTTATTTGGGGATTCCTAGTGCTTGTATTATTCACTTCCAGACTTCTGTAGCTAGGTTTTACTACTCAACATCCTCAATACTACACTAAAAGTTAATATAAAAGCTTGTGTTTGCTTTGTGACATGGTAAAGTAAAAGCATTAAACGTTAAGTACATTAAGTAGAATAAGCACATCAACTTGAAGTCACAAGTCATCTAAATCTACTTATTCGTGCACATTTCTTCACTGACGAGATTTCGTTAACGAGCTTAGAGCACGGTATACGAATAAAAATGAAATTTCGAAGCATATTACGCAAGAATATGTCTACATTTCTTAGTGCATGAATATGGATCTTATCACTAGATTTTCTCCGTCCCAACGTTATTAAAAATTACATTATAAGTAGCGTTTATGTTCTTCCAGACTATTCTACATCTGTGCGAATTTTCATCAAGATCCATCTTGATTTCATCATCTCAGATTCTTTTAAACTTTCACGTTTATAATAAGTAAAAAGTTTTTATTTCTTTTTTTAAGTGCATGTATACATACATAGCCCTTTTGGAGATTTCCCGGACAAAAGCAGCTTGCGTACAGACAGACAGACAGATTTTTTTTGCGATTCTTCGTTATCAGCAACGCAAATACACCATCTTCCCGAAATCTGGAATTTTATTTTTGATGGTACAAACAGACGCAGCAATTTTATTATATTTATAGATATAGATTAGTCCTAAATTAATTTAATGTTACGAGTAGGAAAAGGAAGATATAAAGAAGGTTAACTGACTATATGATTGAGGAAAAAGATAAGATAGAATGTCCCCTACAATCCAAGTTCTATATCTGTGTATTGCAGTGCTACCGGCTAACGAATCTAATCAAATCAGTTACAAATGATTAAGCACAAATGTCGCTGACCGGAGTTTCTTATCGCTCATGCATTCCCTTGATTGTAAATGATAATGAGAATTTTTGTTGAACTTCTAAAAACTTACCACTACAGACTATACTATATCTATACTTCTATACTCTAACTCTCTTTCTCTCTCTCTCCGGATCGTTTCCTTATTCCTGAGGGTCGCGACCACTCTCCTTGACAATCTCTCGAAGGGTATTTCTCCACTCTGTGCGATTCTCTGCTATTTACGAATACTCCTATACTATCTATAGTTAAATTATTAAACAGGAAAGATTTACATTTTTACATTTTTGTATGTATTGAAATAACTCAAAAACTATTGAACTGATTTCAAAAATTCTTTCACCATTAAAAGGCCATGTTTTCACTGAGTAACATAGCCTATATTTTTAATTTCATGCAGACGAAGTCACGAGCAACAGCTAGTAAACATATAGCCCTTCTTGTTATTCTCTTTAAAAAGGGTTGTTGCTATATTCTACGAGTGTTTCGGAATTTCAAACACGAAAGGAATTACTCAAACATAAACAAAAGTTATTTCACTTTTAGACATAAAAGGGTCATATTTGTACTATCAATGGTAAAACAACTTTTGTTTACTTACAAAGCAAACGGCCTAAATTACCTTTACATTGTAGCGAAATAAATTAATGTTTTCTTTATCTTTGATGCAAATGAATCCTTAAACAGGTCGGTTCCGAACTTCAGAACGTTTTTCGAGGCCGTAACGCGCTCAAATGGCTGATATCTTGGGGGGAACAATGGGGCCTATCACAGAGTGACACCGCGCTAACTTTTATTGACAATCATGATACACAGCGGAGTGGGAACGTATTGACGTACAAGGAATCGAGACCTTACAAGGTAATTAACATAGAACGATATACTATAATATAAACCACTTTTCCACTGGATAAATGAATGCACTGCGAGCGAATGCCATTATTGGACAGTTAAAAAGTTCCTTATTACTTCGTTCACACTAGGCTAGAACCGCGACAAGTCGTGCTAGTGAAAAATGAGTCTTACAATAATTTACAAAGCTTTCACCCGCGACTCTGTGGAATTATAAACCAATAAAACCAAGTAGTTTATGTGTTCTTCCCGACTGTCCTCTACATCTATGGAAAATTTCATCGAGATTCGTTCAGCAGTTTAGGCTACAAACTCTAACAACCCATCCATCTAAAATTACGCATATATAATATTAGTAAGATAAGATATTTCATGTAAATTAATCATAAATGTAATGTGTACATTACAGGCCGCTGTAGCGTTTATTTTGGCGCATCCGTACGGAGAGCCCCGAATAATGAGCAGCTATGCATTCGACAGCGCTGATCAAGGACCGCCTAATGACGACAAAGAAAACATAATTACTCCGAGCATTAACGAGGTCATTAGTATAAGTATTATTCTTTAATTATGACATTGAAGATAGACCTTTTCGTCGCAAATATACATTTATACTTCTCTACTAATGTTATAAAGAGGAAAAGGATTTGTATTTTTGTATGTACTGATAACTCAAAAACTACAGGACCAATTTAAAAAATTCTTGCACCATCAAAAAGCTACGTTATCAGTGAGTAACGTAGGCTATATTTTTGAATATAACGCGGGCGAAGTCGCGAGAAACAGCTAGTTATTATAATTACAGAAATTTAACTCAACCAAGTTTCATGAAAAGAAAATCCATCTCCGAATTGAGATTTTTTATTTGTTTTAGATTTAGTTGTCATTTGTTGAGAAAAGTGTCTTGAGAGATAACCAGTGGATACAGCCCCTTTCATGTTATAACGTTGAAGTATGTTACTGACGCTAAAAACATTTCAGTAACAATAAGCTAGATTCGATTTAAAAATCCAGAAAGTTAAAATAAGATATAATATTTTGTATTTTTAACACAAAAATGCTGCAAATATTTTTTTGTTGTTCAAAGAATACGATAGTGGAAAAGGTTTGTTAAAATTAATTTCAATTTCGTGGAAAACTGTGTAACTTAAAAGCCAGACCGCAGTTTTCATTTCTCGTTTGTGGTGAGAAAGTTTTTCGTGGAATAAATTGGTCTGATTATTCATATATTAAAAAAATATTTAACAGAAAGGATATTAAAGCAAAAGAAATCTTAAATACTACTTGTAAGTTTTAGTAAATGCCTTTGTGATAGGATATTGCTGGCTTACATTGAAAGAGTTGCCACCGTTTGAAAACTTGTAATAATACAAATTCTTATATTTCAACTCTTTTTAAAAATATAAATTTGTAACCTGTTTCTTTAGTGGTAACTCACAGTTATAATAAAAACCATTAGTTATCTCTTAAGTAGTTTGTGTACAATCAGCATAAATATGCTTTCATTTACAAAGCTTTAAGCTTTACGGCTTGATATCAAATATATACTTGCACATATCCGTTTGTATGCATCCGATATATGTGCAATATTTTAGAAACCAAAAAACATATACAAGCTTCAAAAGATTTCCAAATCTTACTAATATTATAAATGTCAAAGTTTAGATGGATGGATGGATGTTTGTTAGAGTTTGTAGCCTAAACGACTGAACAGATCTCAATGAAATTTGACAGAGATATAGAGTATAGTCTGGAAGAACATATAGACTCAGTTTTTTTTCAATCCCGAAAGTTAGTGTATACATATTTATGAGGCTGACTGTACATTTTTATCGCTGTCAGAATAAAACTGATTAATAAAATCCAGGATGACACTTGCGGTAACGGGTGGGTGTGTGAACATCGCTGGCGTCAAATCTATCAAATGGTTGCCTTCAGGAACGCGGTGAAGTATACTACGGTAGAAAACTGGTGGGACAATGGCAGCTGTCAGATTGCTTTCAGCAGAGGTGAAAAGGGATTTATAGTATTCAATGGAGAAGCTTATCCACTGAATGTTACCCTAAAGGTACGCTTCTTTTCAATCCAAATACGAAGTTTGTTTTTTCCATTCGACCGCCAGGAACGTCGAGTCGCGGCTTACTTGTGCGGTTTATTTTCATAAAGGTAAACATCCCCTTTTGTGAGCATTCCTTTTGTGTTTTGACAACACTTTCGCTATGAAAAAGAAATACATTGGAATGACGTTATATTTTTGGACTTATTATATAAGATTTTCTAATATATTTTTCCGTACATCTTATGCATAAGGCCGTCATACATGAATTGCTAGCAATTGAATCTAGCCCTACACGGACCATAGTTGTTGTTAAAAATGCTGCCAGCTATACGCCGAGCTGATGATTGACGGCCCTAATTCAAATCATTTTCTACGAGTTTTAAAAACATACTTAACTTTTCAGACTGGATTACCAAAAGGTGAATACTGTGACGTGATAACTGGTAAAAGACAAAGTGATGGTTGTACTGGGGCTAAAGTAAAAGTTGACGATAAAGGACTAGCACATATTTATATTTCTAACAATGCTGAAGACATGCATTTGGCCATCCATATTGGGAATGAGGTATACATATTTATTTAATAATTTTAGGATGCCCTTTACCTTTCCTCCCTTTTCTTAAGAGGAAAGGATGGGACGGAAAAGTGGATAAGACGGTGGAGAAGACGCATAGAAAGGGAAAATGTCCTCTTTATGTGCGTCTCCTCCTCCGTCAATTAAGGGTAGGCAACGCATCTGCAATTGTAGATGTTTATGGGCAGCGGTCGCTTACCATTTCTGTGGATTCAGGTGACTGCTTGCATGTATTATAAAAAAAATAGTTATATTATAGAAATCTAGTTAATTAACTTTACCCCCAATATTGTAACAATATACTAATAATATTCATTTGTTTCAGTCAAGAATATTTTGAATATAAACATTAGAATATAATAAAGTCATTTAACTAAATGTTGAGAACCGAATATAAATTGAATGGAATTGTTTTCGTTGGCCATCAGATCTAATTAATCGATTCATAAAATAAATAAAATTGGTCGAATACAGAATTGTTTTCTTTGAAGGCTTTGAGTTTAATTAACCTTTAAACAATTTCATTGTAATTGCTACCATTTCATGAAATTAAAGTAAAAGATAAAGGAACAGAAGTTTTAACGCATTTTTCAAATATTTTATTCTGCAATCTGATCTTTTTTTTTTTGATAAATCATTGAAGAAAAAATCTGAAACGACTGTTCCTATTAAAATTGGTCAAGCCATTTAAACTAAAGGACTCAAAAATGGCATATGTCGAATCACTCGAAAAAATGTAACCCTCATGATTCTAAGAAAAAATAAGCTATTAAAATTGTAAACTTAACTAAAAGTATTTGACTCCCGCGTACTTGATAAAAATCATCGAAATAAATATATTCAGTAAACACAATCATTTGAATAATAACAATTTCTGACATTATCTTAGATTAATTGAGTTTGTAGATAAACTATCGATTTATGAACTGAGATTTTATCAATGCCTATATAAGTTATAGGAGACGATAGAACAAGTTAAAATAATTTTCATAGAAGACGCCAGGTGAGTTATTTTTTATCAGTTTCATATTACACGCGGAAATAGAATTAATTTACAACAGTACGCTTTAGATGTTTTGAGATGAAATAAAAAATAAGGGAAATATCAATGTTGCATTGTGATTGACAATGTTAGATAATTTATCAAATTAAATTTTTATTAGTGACAGTTGCAGAAATTGAATACAGCAGGAGAAGTAAGCAACTATATACGAGTATATTAAACAGTGGAATATAGCAAGAGAGTTATAATAAATTCTAACAATTGTTTTATATGCACTGTTAGTAGCTATGATTGTATTCGTGTTTGATGTTCTAGAATGATCCGGTTCATTCTGTTGCTGGCCGTTGCGGGCCTGGCTTTGGGGTACAAGAACCCCCACTATGCCTCCGGCCGGACCACCATGGTGCATCTATTTGAATGGAAATGGGACGACATTGCTGCAGAATGTGAAAGGTTCCTTGGACCTAGAGGATTTGGTGGTATTCAGGTAAGAATATGTAACTATTATAAATGTAATATACTAAAGAAGAGAAATATCTTTATGATGCAATCGATAAATAAAAAATGGTACTACATTTTTTAAATAAAGTCTGCGACGTCCCTAATAGTACTTTTGCTTGTAGATTTCCCCGCCTAATGAGAACTTGGTGATCGGGTCAAGGAATAGACCATGGTGGGAGAGATATCAACCGATATCTTATAGACTAGTGACACGTTCAGGGAATGAACAGCAATTCGCCAACATGGTGCGTCGTTGCAACAACGTTGGTGTCAGGTAAGAAAGATTATAAAGTCGGGAATATTCTAACTAAGGGAGCACTTAAAAGTTATGGAAAGTTTATAAAACTGATAGTTATAAGTTTGTAAAAAGCCTAGAATTTGAATTTTAAATTTCGAAGACGACAACTTTACAAGTTCATTTTTATTATAAAATACAATATTATATGAAGAGGGCCACTCACATCATCGGTGTCGCTCTCCACTCAAGTTACAGTCGCTAAAGAAAAGAGGTCACTTCATTCTTGTGTGCGTGTAGATTTCTATTATTCTTCAAAACTATATGAGCTTGTAACATGTAGGAAAATGTGGTATAGAACCCTCCCTATAATAAAATATAAACAAAAGCAGCTCCTCCTTGTGATAATTTTTGCATAATTTATATGTTTGTATTGACTTTTTGAAAATCAAAACAAAATTAACGAACAAACAAACGAAACAGTCCACAGTGGTTTTCTTTGTTTATCGAATAAAATAATAAAGCTTTTTCGGTTGCCTTGTAAATTGAATCGTTCAACATTGATTTATATTGTAGGCTGTATTGTTACTCGATTGCTCTCCGAAGATTCGATCATTCCCCGGGATCAAATTTACTGTTACAAAATAAATGCTACATTTATCCTCGCAAAGGGAATCTACAACATGTAGGCCGCAAGGCAAAATAAATTAAATCATAAAACAGTTAACCAAGAAGTTATATTGTTAAGATTTAATGGATAACTATATCGCTTTTTGATATCGCCTAAACTTTCAGTTATTTTTTTTTATTAACAGTTTTAGTCTCAACTATCCTCAACTATTATTTTTATGGTTTAATTTATGTTGTTTTACAGGATTTACGTGGATGCTATTATTAATCATATGACTGGTACGTGGAATGAGAATGTCGGAACTGGAGGCAGTACTGCTAACTTCGGAGAATGGCACTACCCCTCCGTACCTTACGGCAGAAATGACTTTAATTGGCCCCAGTGTGTGATTTCCGGCAACGACTATAACTGCTGTCCTGATAGAGTGAGTTTCAACCTCTTAATGTTAGCAATGACATATGCATGTTGCTTATCATGTAGTATCTAAAAAGTAGGAAGTAATTATTTTTTTTATTTTTTTTTCTGTTGGTTATCCGATTATTCTTTCGCATTTTCAGTAGGATTTGTATTCTGTATTTCCTAATGTAGTTAATATAAAAAAATACAAAAGGAAAGAAATAGAATCAAATAATTATTGTAATAACAAATTACATTGGAAGCAATTTCTAGATTAGATAACACAATTGTATAATATCGCATTGGAGATTAATATCAAAATTGGCAGGATGCCTGCGGTGCATTCTGTCAGCTCGCCGATATGACTTTGGCAGCAATAACGTTAACTGATTGACAATAATACTGTGCTGCAAATTATTTGAATACCAGATACGTTTGAATTGATTGATATATTTGAATTACTTTTTGTTTCAATTACTGATTAATTTTTATGTTTTAATTACTCAAAATCATTTTTTTACACCATGAGATGGCAACGAGCTAGCGGCCACCTGAATTCGCCAAAATGGCGAAGTGACCGCTACCCATAGACATTCGCAATAGCGCATGCAGTGCCTAAACTTAATCGACGAAGGAGAAGACACACATAAAGAGAATATTTCCCTTCCTATGCGTCTCCTCCATCGCTAAATCCACGTGCCCTTCCCATCCTATTCTTATGAGAAAAAGAATGGTAAGACTAAACTTGGACCTCCGGCACCACACTCATCGGACGAAACGCGGAATTGCGTCCACTTCGCATTTTGTTATTACGTTTTTGTATTTACATGAAACCATTTTTTTACAACTTCCAATTAACTCTTACAGGTGCGAAACTGTGAATTGTCTGGTTTGAAGGACTTAAATCAAGGTTCTGCGCATGTTCGTAATATGATTGTTAATTACATGAACCATCTGATTGGTCTTGGTGTTGCTGGATTCAGGTAGGTGAATGATTTGTGAGTTGTCAAAATTTTATTATCAAACCAAGCTTTAAATTATCTAATTCATTTTAGAATTGATGCTGCAAAGCACATGTGGCCTGGAGACCTTCGCGTAATTTATGACAGACTACAAAATCTCAACACAAACCACGGCTTCCCATCCGGTGCCCGTCCATACATCTACCAAGAAGTTATTGATCTTGGTGGCGAAGCTATTAGTCGGAATGAGTACACACCTCTTGCTGCAGTCACTGAGTTTAGATTCGGACTGGAATTGAGCAGAGCATTCCAGGGAGGAAATCAACTGAGATGGTTACATAACTGGGGACCTAACTGGGGCCTCCTCGCGAGCGATGACGCCTTGACATTTATTGATAATCATGATAATCAGAGAGGACACGGCGCTGGTGGTAACATTCTTACGTACAAGAGTTCTAAGCGATACAAGGGAGCGATTGCTTTTATGTTGGCTCACCCGTACGGCAAACCACAATTGATGAGCAGCTTCGATTTCTGGGACACTGAGGCTGGACCTCCTATGGACCGCAATGGCAATATTATTTCCGCATCTATTAATTCTGTAAGTAAAGTTTTTAATAAGCGTTAAAGTTAATAGTTAATAGTCAGCATCTGTCAAAATTTTAACTCGACGGAATATAGTGTACATTTGTTTAACCAGCGCCTTGTTATAGGATGGTACTTGCGGCAATGGATGGATCTGCGAACATCGCTGGCGTCAAATCTACCAGATGGTTGCGTTTAGAAACGTTGCCGGGAACACTGCTTTGAACAACTGGTGGGACAACGGAAGCAATCAGATTGCTTTCTGTCGCGGCCAGCAAGCATTTGTTGCTTTCAACAACGACAACTGGGATCTTAATCAAAACTTAAACGTATGAACCTTTTACATTAACCAACGAAAATAAATACAAGATATTTCTATTATCTGTATATATTCATTATTAGAGTAGTAATCATTGTAACGTATTAAGTTTGTATTTTCAGACTTGTCTACCAGCCGGTTCTTACTGTGATGTCATATCTGGTGTTAAGGAAGGCAACAGATGCACCGGAAAGACTGTTACTGTCGGCAACAATGGTATCGCCAACATCTCCATACGTGCTAACGAGTATGATATGATTCTCGCTATTCACCGCGGCAATGAGGTTGGTATTGAACTTTTTCCAGAAGATAAGATCTTAGTGATATCTTTAGTAAATAGATTTTATCGGGTCACTATCGACTATCGATTATATGGTGACTGCAATGTGTGAGGTTTCAGTCGTGCCTGAATTTTCTAATCCAATTGGTGTTAAATATTTTATTACTTTATTTTTATCTGTGATATTAATGTATAAAATGTTTGATTTCAGTCAAGATTGTAAAGAGGAATGAATTATGCTGGAAAGGACACAACATGCGAAAGACGATTAAATTCAAATGTGAAAATCTAAGTCATTGAAATATTCAAACAGTCGTTTGTAATATTCGTGTTCATAGAAATAAAGATTTTTATATAAATACTCGAGTTTCTATTCCATGACATTTTTAAATGTACCGGAGAGTTTACTAGAGTTACATTTAAAATTGTTGCCTCATAAAATTCTAATAAGCAAGAATACCAACAAAGGCACACCAACAGACACAATAATAATTTATTCACAGTCTTACTCTTGATTGCCCGTTGAATTATCATCAGATATATAATTAGAATTTGTGTTCTCTTTATTGATGTAACACACGAAATGCACTTGTTTCCAATTTTATAATAAACAAAGTAATCGAAATCGAAGCAATTTCGTTAGAAAACATGTTGTTTTTAATTTAAATTTTATCTTTTTGATAAAAATGAAATCACATTATTTTTGTTATTCATTACTTTGTACAAATAAGCGGTAATTAGCGGGTTTTAGATCTCTTTTCTTTGATATTTTGATTGACCTGATCCGACACTTCGTATAAAAGAAAAGTTAATTTAAAATGAATGTTGAAAGAGATTATGAAATGAAGATAAATTAAGATCTCAAAGAAATCCTAGTTATCATTTTTAAAAAGTGAAGCATGCAGATTACGCATGCTAAAATATTGTTTACAGTCAAATCGAAAGTACATATGATATCAAATCTTGGGAATGATTAATCACATAAAATTGATGTCGCTAACCGAATAATTTCTTATCGTTCAAGCAATAGCGCTTTGATTATATTTTGTTTATTGGCTGTGCATTTTTTGCATACGTTAGTATTTTAATTACTAATCTAAGGACAGATAACGAGTTGATTATTTGAATTTTAAAGTGTATTTTTGCATTACTCTTCACCGTACAAATAATTACATTTATCTGCAATAAACATACAAATATACTTTGTTTATTAGATGTTATGAAAGGTACCATTTATCATTCAGGGAATGAGAGAATTGTATTGAGTTATGAAGCAATTTTAATGATAATACGTAACATAATAGTCGTACGTCGTAACGATTATGTTAAGAATTAACCATAAATGTATGGTGCAATACTTTGATGATCAAGAGAATAGCGATATTCACGTCATTGCACATAAATAAGTACACATTTCCATACAATTTCACGTACTTCTCCATAATTTGACACGACAGTAACTGAATGCAAGCAAACATTTCTCTCGGGCAGATGACCACTATCTACTACGACGTAACTATACGCACTGTGTAGTGACGATTCATAGTCGGTCAATCAGTTTTTAAATGCAACAGGATTTGAAATCAGTTCTTAATGACAATAGACTTGAAATTGACAAGAACATGTTTTTACAGAATATTAACAGCAAACACTTACATGACCTGACTCCCGCGTATTCGATAACCATCTAATCAATTGGATAATTATATTTTTGCGACACTATCATGGATTACTGGTCCGAAGATACTTTTTACTATCTAATTTTAACTGATTTTATCTGTTACTATATAAGTATTGTCTTCGTGGTGGCTTTGAAACAAGTGAAAATTGTTTTTTTGTTGTTTGACGCCAGGTGAGTGAGTTTTTATTATTTTAAAATCTTAATGTTTGCCGTAGTTTAAAATTATTGTGATTTATTTGAACTCAATGTGACTAAGTAGGTATCAAAAGTATCTGGACACAAAAGTTTGTTTAATTAGTTATTACCGTAATTCCACTATCTATCTAAATACTCAAATTTACTGATCAGACCTCTTCGTCTTCGGACACCAAACGTAATAATAGTGAAATTATAAGTTCAACAAGACGTTAAACTGACAATATTGGTGATAATTTTAATTTAATATTATAGAATGATTCGTTTCATTCTGTTGCTGGCCGCTGCGGGCCTGGCAGTGGCCTTCAAGAACCCCCACTATGTATCTGGCCGGACTACTATGGTTCATCTCTTTGAATGGAAATGGAACGACATTGCTGCTGAGTGCGAAAGGTTCCTTGGGCCTAGAGGATTCGCTGGTGTTCAGGTAAGCAAATCTTTTTCTTCAGTAATAACATACGTTTTTTGATAAATTAATATATCTGCGTTTCAACTACTGTCTTCTAGATATCACCTCCCAATGAGAATTTAGTGATAAGGTCTAGGAACCGGCCATGGTGGGAGAGATACCAGCCAATGTCTTACAGATTGGTAACACGTTCAGGAAATGAACAGCAATTCGCAAATATGGTACGTCGGTGCAATAACGTCGGTGTAAGGTAAGAAATAAAGCGATATCTTACTTAAGTCAACAATGGAAAACTTTACATAAATTAAACAATACTGTTCGTTGAAGAGTACAAGTGGAGTTGTAAGCAAATAAACAAAGACCTGATCGTTCCCGGAAATCAAATTAGCAGTTAAAAGTAAATCCTTATTTTATGCTCACAAGGAAACTACCAACCGAAATGAAAAAGGGAGTTGATAGCAATAAAAAAGTCCGCCGGATCAGTCGGGGTATGGAATCGTGTACTCGCCAGACGTAAAACGGAAAAATAAACACAACCACGATTTTGTGTTGTGTACATTCTTACCGATCGCTTTTGGAGAAAGGTCATTTTTTATTGATTTTTTCTAGGATATATGTGGATGCAATTATTAACCATATGACTGGTACTTGGAACGAGAATGTGGGCACCGGAGGAAGTAATGCTAACTTCGGAAACTGGCACTACCCTGCCGTACCCTACGGACGAAATGACTTCAATTCCCCTCAATGTGTGATCTCTGGCAACGACTATCGCTGCTGCCCAGATAGGGTAAGTACTGATTTTAACCCAATAAAACATAAATACAATCGCGAAAGTTGTAGTGCAAGTTGGTTCTAGGAGACAAATGCGAATTATTATTATTTTTTTTTTAGGTAAGAAATTGTGAACTATCAGGATTAAAGGATTTGAATCAAGGATCTTCTCATGTTCGTAACATGATTGTAAATTACATGAACCATCTTATTAACCTCGGAGTAGCAGGATTCAGGTAAGTCATTTGTTTATTGATATCTCATCTAAGATTTAATTTTGTATACAAGGAATTGTATACGAGGAACATAGTAAAAAGATTCTTCTTTATTTCAGGATTGATGCAGCTAAGCACATGTGGCCCGCAGATCTTCGCGCTATCTACAACAGGCTGAACAATCTAAATAGGAACCATGGTTTCCCATCTGGTGCCCGTCCTTACATCTACCAAGAAGTTATTGATCTTGGTGGCGAAGCTATTAGTCGGAATGAGTACACGCCTCTTGCTGCAGTCACTGAGTTTAGATTCGGAATGGAATTGAGCAGAGCATTCCAAGGTGGAAATCAATTGAGATGGTTACATAATTGGGGACCTAACTGGGGTCTTCTTGCGAGTGGTGACGCTTTGACATTTATCGATAACCATGACAATCAGAGAGGTCACGGCGCTGGTGGCAATATTCTTACATACAAAAGTGCTAAACGATACAAGGGAGCGATTGCCTTTATGTTGGCTCACCCTTACGGCAAACCTCAGTTGATGAGCAGCTTCGATTTCCGAGACACTGAGGCTGGACCTCCGCAGGACCGTAACGGCAATATTATTTCTCCTTCTATTAATTCTGTACGTTTCTTGAAATTAATTGGAATTTCCACAAATTTTAAATTTTCTCAAACTAACAAATTTATGATTTTAAACGTTTGTAATAGGATGGTTCGTGCGGTAACGGATGGATCTGCGAACATCGTTGGCGTCAAATCTACCAGATGGTTGCGTTCAGGAATGTTGCCGGGAACAACGCTGTAAGAAATTGGTGGGACAACGGCAGCAATCAAATAGCCTTCTGTCGTGGTCAGCAAGCATTCGTCGCTTTTAACAACGATAATAGGGATCTAAACCAAGACTTAAACGTATGGAAACTTATATTTATTAACTATTGTACACCACATTTGTATGTCAAGTTCCAAGTCGCCATGCTTTCGTCTAACCCGTATTTCATCTCGCATATTATATTTTATAATCATTTTCAGACATGTCTACCAGCTGGCAATTACTGTGACGTCATATCTGGTGTGAAGAGCGGAAACAGATGTACCGGCAAGACTATCACTGTCAACAGCAATGGCCGTGCTCGTATCACGATACGCGCTAATGAATACGATATGATTCTTGCCATTCATCGTGGCAACGAGGTTGGTATTAAAGAAACAGTGCCTATTTAGCATTATTGTGTCTTTGAACACTGTCTTTGTGGGATTCTACTTTTATGTGTAATTTTTATTTCCAGTCGAGACTTTAATGACGAAGGACTATTCAACAGAAATCTTCAGGTTGGCAGGCTGAAGGTTGTTTTTGCCAATAAAATGTCCTAACAAATATATGAAAGAGTTAATTTCTTATTATATGAATTGTGTTTAGTTTTATTGTTATTTATTCCCAAGCTTTCTACGTAGTATTAACCTTAATGTGTTAAAGAAAATGAACTACAAACTGTACTGTGCACTCTTGTAGAAACAAATGAAAATTGTTAAGTAAAATAGTTACAATAGACTACAATAGGATTAGACGATCACGTTGTTTATTCGAGTGTTCAAGTATAAAGCGAACATAACAATACAGCCGGCTTTAGCAGCCGGCCCATCATTTAATTTGAATACAAATGACAGTCTTCGTATTATGTAAAATCCGATTTCCGTGCTAAGTCGCAGTGGGCGTTATTCCATTGTTTCATTACTATACGCCGCAGCTGTCTAGAAGCAGAATTTAGAGCAATGCCACACGGACGTTACTTACCCATATTAGATGCGACAAAACGCTACACAGTTCTTTCGTCGACTCAACGTCGCTATGTAATGTATATGAAAATACTAGCTTTTGCCAGTGACTCCGTGCGCATGGAATTAAAAAACAAAAGTAAGTGGCCTATATGTTCTTCCAGACTATCCTTCACATCTATGCCAAATTTAATCGAGATTTGTTCAGTAGTTAAGGCTACAAACGTGTAAGGCGCTTCGTCAACGCGTAGCTGTTCGCTGGTATATCGTGTGGCATTGTTCTAATCCGTACGTACGAGCTTCTGACGTCAACGTCAATCGGACGGCTTAGCAGAAACTTGTAATTCTGACGTTAATAGAATGCGTAACTACAACGAACTCGTTCGATTTGCCATACGCTTAGACTAAAATAGAAGCATTTATGCTGGGTTGCTGAAGTTTCCATTTATTTTATCACTAGCTGTTGCTTGAAAATAGTAAAAGTCAGCTTGTTAGGAAACGCATTTCAAGAAATTATGAACCAAAAACACTAACGAATGGTTAAAAGTAGCTGGAAAACCGGCTATAAGTACTCGAGTCTTATTGTAATATTCTTATCTACATTTTATGTTACTTTGCATATTCGTGTCATTTTACGAAACAGTTTAATGATGAAATTATTATTATTTTATTGTATGTTTGCAAAATGAAGGAAGTATCGAATTTTATTTCGATTGTAGCATCTAATTTTGTAGTGCAATTATGTTATTCACTAGCTGTTCCCGTGCGACTTCATCTGCATATAATTATGAAAATTTTATTTTGTTGTGTATCAAATTATCAATTGCAAATGTCAAAATGATATGAAATTATGACAAACCATGGCAACCTTGCTTCCTTGATGTTGGCAGCAACTTATGGTCTATTTCCCACATTAGGGTTTTTATCCAAAATACTTACCCCCCTAAGTTTAATAGCGTGAAATATACAGCCTAAAGCGTAACGTAACTGTAGGGCTTTTTATTAAAAAAATAATTATTCAAAAATATGCTGTGATTGCTGACATCTTAGGCAACAAAAAAGTGTGTGTTTACGCTTTATTAAATAGTATAGAAGTATAGATTTATAATACTTCTTATGAGATTCGTGATTCGTGTGTGAAACGGATATTTGATCTTCTATGTTATTGATTACCCTTACTCAATATATTAATTAACAGGTATTATAATGTAATCCGCACTTTGAACATTAACACGTTGACGTGTCTATAACATTGCTTTGTAAATACGTTATATTCATACGATATAATGGGTTAAATCAATTAACCTAATATCTAGACGAATTTCGCATAACTTGCGTTTTAGAGCGGGCACCTTCGACTAAAATATCGCACGACTTTCGATTGTTTTTCAGCCAATTCTGTTTAGTTGCACAACTACAAATCGAGTTTTTTTTTACATACAAAAAGGAGGCAAACGAGCAAGCGGCCACCTAAATGCGCCAAATTGGCGAAGCGACCGCTGCCCATAGACATCCGCAATTGCAAATGCGTTGCCTACCCTAAATCAACGGAGGAGACTCAATCGGACAAAATCGGAGGAGAATCAAAAAGGTGGGACGGGAAAGAGACTAAAATTGGACTTCCCGCACCACACTCATCAGACGAAACGCGGAATTGCTTCCACTTCACGCCTGTCTTCTGTCTGGACGTGGTATTGCACCAGGCGAGCCGACCCATTAGTGCGAAGATGTTAAAGCGGGTTCTTCCATATAAGCTCATAGGAATCTAAGCGCGACATCAGTTGTGCGATAGTTTAGTCAAAAGTGCGGGCTCTTACAATATCAATATTTCATTCTAACATTAGTCTGCTGATATAAATATATAATACATTTTTATTTTAAGAGAGAACTCTGTAGCTATTTTATCAATAAAAAATGCAAATATAAAGTGCTATAAAAAGTCGCTAAAAGTCATGAAATTTAATTATTAAAACTGTACTCACAGTTCATGCGCACACTTTTATGTTTTGAATTAATTAATACGCGAGCCTTTGACGTTATTAATTGTATTTCAATTGCAACAAAAAGCTACTGAATCGAACAATAGGGAAAAGTGTTAAAGTGCGAAATAATAATGGAAAAAAGAACAATAAAGCCAGATTCTTTTTTGTTCTTTTACAAAAATAAATGTTACATTTTAATATAAATTTTTCTGCTGATGGTATTTTGCATTGTCAATTGTTTTAAGTGCGTTACTAAGATTTATACCCCGTAGCTGAAAGTTAATTTGAGAAAATATATTAAGTATAAGTAGCAGCGTCTTACATGATAAAGACAAGCGTAAATCCAAATTAAATTAAGCATACAAAGTTACATGTTAAAGATTAGTTTCAATATTTGGCTACATCACTTAACTGGTAAGATTAAACTCATATCTATACTCTATACTATTATAATAAAGCGTAAACACACACTTCTTTGTTGCCTAAGATGTCAGCAACTACAGTAATATTTTGAATAATTATTTTTTTAATGAAAAGCCCTACACTTACGTCACGCTTTAGGCTATATATTTTCACGCTATTAAGCTTAGGGGGTAAATAAATAAGATAAAAATCCTAATGTGGGAAAGAGGCCATGCGGTATGAGCTGCCAACATCAAGGCAACGAGGTTGTCATTTTGACATTTCACAAATGTAAACAATGAAATAAAATTTAAATAGTCTCACGCGGATGAAGCCGCACGGGAACAGCTAGTCTAAAATTAAGTCAAGCTGAGTAACTACATTACATTTGTCCACTTTGACAACGTAGTTCCACTTCTTCGACCTGAAATTGCTAACTAAATAATAGTTATTTAAAACTAGAAAAGACACACGTCTATCAACTGTAAGTAAACTTCTAAGATAATAATATAATTGTAGTAAAAATAAACGAATCGTGTAAGATCATAATACTCTCTAAGAATCAGCAAGGCATAGTGAAATAAACACGTCAGGGGCGCTGGTATAAATTGGACATTATTGCAAACAAAGTGAGATCTTCGCGTAGTTTACTTTTAGTATTGCCTCTTCACTCGAAATGTTTCCTTTGACTAAAATATGACTGAAATTAAACTATTCTTGGTATTAATGCTTATGACATTTACATACGGAAATGAAATTTAAGTAATAAATAGAATTTATTGTGAAATTAATAATTCCGAAAAAAAAAAATCATATTGTTCTCCCAAAAACAGTATCAGTTTACAGTACAGTACAGATTAAAAGTGGTAGTGCCCGCTTAACATCTTAGCACGAATGGGCCGGCACGCCCGGTGTAATTCCACGACCACACAGAAGACAGGCGTGAAGTGGAAGCAATTCCGTGTTTGGTTTGATGAGTGTGGTGCCGGAGGCCTAATTTAAGTCCTTTTCTCTTTACCGCCTTTTTCTTATAGGGAGAGGATGGGAAGGGAAAGTGGATTTGACGGAGGAGGAGATACATAGGAAGGGGAAATATCCTCTTTATCTACATCTCCTCTGTCGGATAAGGGTAGGCAACGCATTTGCAATTGCGGATGTCCATGGGCAACGGTCGCTTGGCGATTTTAGCGGATTCAGGTGGCCGCTTAATTGTTTGCCACCTTTTGTTATAAAAAAAAGTATATTCAGTTGCTGTCCAACAGAATTGCAGCCTTAGGATATTTCTGTACTAGTCGGAGAAAATTTTAAACTAGAAAACAGCAATGCATCGATTTGGAAAAGCGTAGGTTAAAATAATCACTTGAAACAGACGCGGTACTTGCTTATAATAACAGTTATTTAATCTTAAATTAAACAGTATTTTTACAACTCGCTTTTAAACACGTTTAAAGAAATAAACAAATGTAAAATAAAAGTGTTTTAAGATGTCGGTTGTTGGTTAAACGTGTTGATTGATTGCTGCTTTTGCTATTTAGAATATGCTAGTTGTTGTTCACGTCTTCGCGTGCGTGAAATTAAAAAAAATAAAAATATAGCCTATGTTAGTCGGTGATAACATAGTTTTTAATGGTGCAAAAATTTTTGAAATCGGTTCAGTAGTTTTTGAGTTATTTCAATACATATAAAAATCCAAAAATACGAATCTTTTTTATGTTAAGCTAGCGCTAAATCTTTCCCCTTTATAATATTAGTATAGATATAGATTATTTGCTTGCAAGCTAAAAATATTTTTATGTAATTTAGGTCTGATTCGCGAAAAAGATCAATTTCTAAAACCAAGACAATCTATAATGAAACATTAAGTATTAAATCAAGATAAAAGTCTTATTAACAAAACTTTGTATTTAAAAGTGAAACGTTTCATTAGTGAAAAAGATAAAAAATTCTACCATTTATAATTTCAATTGCAAAGTCTTTGTAATTCACGAGAAAGGAAAAAGCAATGAGAGGCGGTGATTGAAAACGTCGTTATCAACTAAATTAATTTGCGCGTTTGTGAAGCGACGTGAGAAATCAGTTCACTTCTTTGATGTATTGTAGAGAAGTCTGATTTATAAAGTCGTAGAAATTTTCTTTCAAAATATGCGTACTGGTTTTTTTATGCTTAAATTCAAATTGAAGTACGAATAATATTGTTTGCTCGTTTGTATAATCCTCATATAAATACGAAAAAAAAAAAAAAATTTTTTTTAGTGTAAGTTAATAAAATGAAACGCGCTTAAATTCAATACATTTAATCTCTGACTGTACAGAAAATTACTTTGTTATTTTATCGTGAACTAGCTTTCACCCGCGTCTCTTTCCCCATAGAATTAAAAAATAAAAGTAAGTAGCTTATATATTCTTCGAGACGATCCTCTACATCCATGTCAAATTTCGTTAAGATATGTTCACCTGTTTAGGCTACAAATTCTAACAAACATTCTTCCTTCTAACCAACGTATAATATTAGCAAGTTTTCTGTGACACTATAGAAACCTCTAAAGTTGTTTTGAAGCGGAGTAGTGCCTATGTTTAGATCACTCTACTCCGCTTTATTCCTTGCACGCAGCCTGTAATAAAAATCTACACTAAGGCTAAGATAAGTAATAATTTAACGACTTCTAAGTTATCAATATGAATTTACAGTAATTTTAGCCAATTGGTATTGAGGTATAAAGTCAATACAATGCGTAGTTGATTTTAATAGTTGGTTACATTTAAGTGTTTTACCAATAACAGTTTTGATGTCACCTTGACCTTATGTCTGTCTTTTCCTCCGAATTGAATAAATAATTACCATTCGGTATCGATTTCTATCGGTTAGAAGTTAACAATTCGTGACTTATTAGAGTATTACGTAATCCTGCGTAAATGTAGTAGTTAATTATCGTCACATTTTTGACTAAACTATCGCACAATTGTTGCTCGATAGTCAATTGTTTCGCAGCCATTTCAACTGTTTCGTTGCAAAACTAAAAATAAGTACTATGCGCCTTCATATAAGCGCATAGCAATCAAAGCGAGAATAAGCAGTAAATGATACTTATATTGCAACTCAACACACTTCATCAATTATAAAGATGAGTAGTTGGTCGATAAATGGACAAAGATCGTCATTTGTTGACATTGCCCCATGAAGGTACACTTTCATTTTTGTCTCCTTCATTAGTAATTACCAATTTTTGTGTTATTAAGCATATAAACTCAGGTCAAAAACAATCGCGCAACATTACAAACACTATTCATAGTTGACCACCATCTTAATTGACAACATCACAACACACTCTAATTGATTACAAACATTTACAGAGATTAACCAATTGATTTTATAATAACAAAACGCATCATTCCACCATTCAAAGACAACTGTCATTTGTCATTTGGTCGCCGCTTGACATCTATCATGCACGATGCACTTTCAGCCAGTACTCAGAATTATTAGTTGCCAGTAACTTTAATCGTTTAAAAAGTATCAATAATTTCGCCCCGTTAAACATATTTATCAAAGCTTGATATGAGATCGATTTCAATAACTAAGATTAGATACATCTTAAAAGGTTATTTCATAATTTGTTAAGTCCATTTCTTCGTCTTACAAAAAAACATTACAAGAAAAAGTAAACCACTAATTTCGCAACGAATTTATAAAAGAAGACAAAGTAATGTCGCAAACCACTCCGTCTTTTATTTCCGCATTACCGAGCAAAGGAAAGTCAAAGAAAATAACTCACGAGCGCAGTCTTAAAATAACTAAACGGCAACAGACGGCAGTTCACCCCACGGTTAATGCAATCAGTTCAACACACATGTTAATGCATGTCATTTCCCAACTGCCATTTGTAAATTTTAAAATAAGAATGTTATATTTTGAAATAAGAACGTTACTAATATTAAATTATGAATGTCAATGATTTTTAAAATTAGAACGTAAATATTTGAAATAGGAGCAATTTTTTCATAAAATTTCGTTTTCTTTTAAATTGCTCAACCGTGTCGATATTAGAACAGAATTTTCTTCCTCAATTTGCTGTGAGACTATTCTCGATATTGAAAGGGGATAAAAATGAATACAAAAAGGATTATACAGTGTTCGGATCGGGTCAGTTTATCTTAAGGTGTGCTCTCACTGTAATAATGTTCCATTCTGTAGAGATCTTTCTTTGAATTAAATTATTATATAAATTATTCTCAGCGGAAAAAGGTAAGCCGACTCCATGTAATAGAGTAAGAATAAAATGTAGAGACAATAATTTGTTTACTTTTTTTCCGTAAAACAACGACAATGGGAAATTCGGCGTCACCTGTAGTAACACCGTGAGGAAAATGTAAATTGTAAACCGAAAGAGAAGCTTTTTCAATTTACATTTTAATATGTTAAGCAATTTCGACTATTTACAATGCAAATGCCTTCATACAAATTCATTCTTCAATTATAAAGGTCGTTACAAAGTTGTACCAAAGTTGCCACGTAAAGTACTTATATTTTAATCATTCCTTGGGTCCCTCATGTGAATAATATGCTTATGATAAGTGCGAACAAATGTCTAATTATGTCGCCGAGACGCTTTTAGTTTCAAAGCTGTCGGCTTAATCTATGTTACGGGACCGCCCATTGGCCCGGCTCAGTCGTACTTCGTTGCCGCCGACGAACGCCCGTACTTTCGCGCGCCCGTAAACTACGATTTTTAAATTTCGAACGCGCCTTAAAACCTTCTCTTTTCAAAACTCTTTCGAATGATTTTCAGTCTTTTATTGTCTGTGGATTACGTGACTTTTGGCGGGTAAATAAATGAATAATCGCTGTACAATTGTGTACTTCACTGTATCATTTTGCTAAGTGCTGTAAGTAAGTTTTCTGAAGTGTACGCTTGGAGAGATTTTCGTGCGAGCGTCCTGAAATTTATTAATTGGGCAGGTGAGTTTATTTTATACCAAAACTTGTATAATAACTTTATTTTAAGATTTGAGAAAATGTAGGTATCAAGAAAATTTTAAATAGATATCGTTAAAAGTATGTACACTTTCAGTCTTGTACTTAAAGTACTTGTTTCTATTAGAACAAATGAAGTGTCCTTTTTTCGTCTAATTTAGTTTTAAATGTCATAGTTTATTTTTATTTATTCTTATCGTTTACATTTTAAGAACCATAAGTTTTATAATTCTTGATACAAATATGTTTTAATTTAATTATAATCGTTGTGTTGTAATAAGTTAAATTAAAAAAAATGTAAAAGGAAATTGACAACACTCTAAGGAATTAAAAATATAAAAATAATTAACTAATGGAACTAGGAACATTAATATATGCGAATGAACTGAATCCAATTTTAATGAAAATACAAACAAGTTTTGTAAAAAATCACTATCTCGTTTAAAAACAATATAGTCCACATAAAAATTTATACTACAAAAGTTTGCCAAAGTGTTTGCTATCATCTAATTAAAAGAAACTTGTTTTTTTAATTAATTTAGGCTTTGATAACTTTAAGAAAATGAATCATATATTGTTTTAAAATTTAAGGATCTTTGCTTTAAAAGAACACGTGTATACGTAGTAGGTCTTAACATATAAACGTTTGTGTAATATTTCGTACTTGAACTGCAACACTGCAAAGATATTTTCGGATCAGTCTGAACTAAAATCTCCAGTTGCATTAGTTTAAAAATAACTTTGTAACTGCTTAAAACTAGACTATATTTGACGGACGGCTTTGAATTGTCTTAGTGGTTAGTAGACTTATGATTATTGGAGTAAAAGTCAAGTATTTAACATTTTGCCCACCACATATAGAGGATTATAATTTTTTGGTTCAATCCAGCCAGTGTCTAAAACTCCAGCAACCCTTTTAGATTCCTGTGATCTCCGGAAGGGAATTAATTAATGTACAAAGTAAACTTTTAATGTTTTTTCTTTTATCAGAAAGAATTGCTTGAAGACAACGTAATCTATTTTTAATCTATGGAGTGACGAGTTGTGGATTGTCATTTGCATACGTAGATAATGATTATAAAACGACAATTGCTACGGCTTCGCGACTCTGTGTCACCCACATCGAGGACACGGCATGGTCATGACTTTTAATTGCATCGATTTTTCTGCAACGTAAATAAAATCGATCATTACTTGCTATAATTCATTTTTTACTCTAAAGGCCTGTCCCACTAGATTGTTAATTGATAACAATCCATCGTGTAAAATATGTGATGGAAATATCAGATTTTGTTACATTATCTGACAGTGACGTCATTTTTAAGCTATCTGAGCTTCATACCAGTGGTGGTATAGGCCCTAATACTTACATCATAGATTTAAGTCAAGTACATTGATGAAAATGTATCTTTAACAATTTTACTTTCTTTAATACATAGTACTGAAATAACGTAACTTTCAAGTATGTTGTAAATCGTTTGAATTAACACAATGTTAAGAACCCCTCACGATTTCTTAAAATAAATACATCAAATATAAATCAGGAAATCTCATTTTCTCAGATCCCAAAAAATACTACAAGCAAATAATTTGTTCGGAGACATTCGGGAAACGAAGGGCTCGAACTTATTATCTAGGAACTGGAATCAAATACCCAAGAGAAAAAGCTTTTGCACCTTATACTCGTACTCATAGATAGAATTCGTAGAACAAAAGTTTTTTGCATAAACGATTGTGCAAAGAAAATTAACTTGTAACTGTGTGTGCATTAATTGCAGTTACAATGCAAGCTTTCTTTCTCATTTTTAATTTTTCGCTCGAGTTAATGGTAACCTGGTATTTAAATTTGAAATTTAGCGAAAAATTCATCGCGAGAAAACCTTCTCAGCTGTGAATAACATTATTCAAATACAACGTGGAGTTCGCGGTAGTCGGGAAGCGTGGCCAGGTTTCGTGCCTCTTATAAATGATAATGAACCTACGTTTTATATGTCAAGCTTTTTAACTCGAAAACTTATATAACAATAGAAGTTTATTTTACGAGTATAATATAAGGTGGCAAACGAGCAAGCGGCCACCTGAATCCACCGAAATGGAAAGCGACCGTCAAATCCACTTTTCCTTTCCATACTTTCCTCTTAAGAAAGAGGTGGAAAGGGAAAGGGACTAAAATTAGGCCTCCGGCACCACACTCATCAGACGAAACGCGGAATAGCTTCCACTTCACGCCTCTTTTCTGTGTGGTTAGGTATAGCACCGGGCGAGCCGAACAATTCGTGCGAAGATGTTAAAGCGGGCTCTACCACTGTTAAAGTCTTCTTTTTTAAAACATAATTGTAGAATCTTTATCTGGTTTTAAGCTTATGACTATTAGTATAATCCCAAGTTATACCCTTGTTACAATTACAACATTTATTTTCATTATAGTGGGACTTTTAATCTTACAAAATCTTACACATTACTTTTATTTATATTTATAATATATGTATATGTTCTTTTAAAAATGGATGTGTGGGGTAACACGAATGGATAAGATACGAAATGAGTATGTTACAGGAAGTTTGAGAGTAGCCCTAGTGGTGGAGAAATTAAGGAGTATAAGGTTAGCGTGGTATTGGAATGTTATGAGGAGGGATGAATCGCATGTAACAAGAAGGACGTTAGTTATGAATGTGGAGGGGTACATCGGTAGAGGTAGACCTAGAAAGAGATGGATGGGTTGCGGGAAAGGTGTCATGATTAAAAAAGGAGTGATGGCTGAGATGACGGATGATAGAGTTATTTGGAGGACGAAAACTCGGCGCTCCGACTCTACGGGAGTAGGATAAGATAAGGGAGAGGATGATGATGTATCTACTTTAATCTTGAGATATTTTTATATAACCCCTTGCTTAACAAGTAAAAGTTGTTAATCCTTCGACGTCATTGCGTATACACACCTTAATACAAGAGTAATTAAAATTACGTTACATAAATTATTACATCGGTTGACTGACGAAAGCAGCAACGTTAACCTTTTGGCTTAACCGCATTGTATTTCGCGAGTCATGTCTTTTAATTGCGGCGATTGTTTGAGAAAAGTGTGAAAATAGTGCTTTTCTTTTCTGTCAATCAAGTTACTCTTTTGTTTTTGGAAATCACAGATTGCGTGATTAAAAAAATATGCAAACAGTTTTCTGCGAGGCTTTCCTTTTAAAATCTTTGTGTAACTCTTTTCACTTTAATAAAAGTCGTTTAAATTTGAATGAAATAATTGTATGTTTTGTTAATAAATTTAAAGGTAACAGTGTTTTGCACTTATCTTCGAGACTTGAGAACAATTAACTTGTTTATCTTGAAAGCATCGTTATTTAAACACTGGTTTGTTTTGTTGTAAGATTTAAATATTCACTTTAATGACTGTAGACAAAGTGATATTTTTCCCGGAGGGAGGCAAATGTTTTATTGTTAGGGTTGAAGATTGAGTTGTTAAATTGTTTAGAACAGTTTTGCAGATTTTATGGTAATATCATAGTTTCATTCTTTTGGTTTTAACATCCATTGTAAAATGTATTTAATATTCTAACCATGTACACCTCAACGTAATACAACAAAGCCGTGAAATTCAATTTTCGATACATATGTACAATTGCATTTTACTATCCTTGTATCCTTTATGGCTTTGAATACTGTTAGAGCGCGCGGATAACTCTATCACATTTCGGGGACGTAAGACAATAAGAAAAGTAACAACCAAACAGTGGAATTGACTGCAAAACAATCGACAATCGCGAACTGTTCTGCACCGCACTTAAGCTCAAATCCCCAGTGTCCCTACATTGTTCAAATATGTCAGAGAGTTACCATGTCCGAATCAATACTGGCAACAAACGTTGCCTAAAAATATAACACACATTTCACGTTCAATACCGGACGAATGTTTTCAAATGGTAATGGATATACGCTACTCTGTGTACAGCTATCTCAGGCTAATATTGCACATTCGAAATACAATTGCGCAATTCCTAATTTCGTCTTTCTATTAGTACTTGTTATGTATGCTACAAGATTTCCTTTATCTAGATTTCATTGATGTTTTTTGTTAATTACATTTGTCTTTCATCGTAGTATCATTAGCTGAATTTAATAGTTTGCAAATAAATAATTCTGTGAGAATAGAACTATGAACAATATTATAAATGCGAAAGTTTACATGGACAAATGTTTCTAAACGACTGAAGGAATCTCAATAAATAGATGTAGAGAATAATCTGGAAGAACACAGGCTACTTTCTTTTGCCCTTTTTTAATTTCACATGAACCGGGACGCGAGCTAAAGCTAGTAATCAATAAATTAAAAACACAATTGCACACACAGCATATTAACAAAACTAGACATTAACCAATAAGCAACTACATACATTTATATTTTAATAAACCATAAGAACCAAAGAGTCTAGAGTAATAAATGAAATAACTTCAATTTCGGTACTCAATTTTATTGTGAAAGATATAAATTATTTTGTAAACACAACACAATTCTCCTTAGTACGTGACCTGACGCAACTTTTACAAACACAGACAGTACGAGTCCCCAAATTGCTGGAGCCACAATGAAACATATAAAAGCCCTTGTATCAACAGCGATACTCAATTTTATAGCCCTTTTATTAACAAATCTCAGCCACACGAGCCCATTTATTCATTCAGAAAATGAATATTCAAAGGTGCTCACTTTTAAAAAGTCAAATGGATTTTAAGCTGATCAATTAATATTTCTCGGAGGTTTATTTGCGTGGAAATTATTCTGTTTAATGCTGACTGAATTAAATGATTTGTAAACGTTTTTGTTAGTATGTTAATGTTTACTCTTACTAATATTATAAATGCGAAAGTTTAGATGGATGTATGGATAAATTGGTATAGATGTAGAGAATCGTATGGAAGAATACATAGGCTATTTTACTTTGTTTTTAGTAAATTCCTTACGTACTTTACTTTTGTAA